ATTGGGTGATGAAAATTTTAGATAGGAACCAGAAAAAAAAATGCCAATTCTTTTTACCGTTACTGTTGAAACTGAGAAAACTAACTGGGAAAAGTAATGAGTGATGCTGACGATGGGGCAATTCCACAGCCTATCTGCCACTCCTAGTTCGCCCTGCTTTCTCCACATATTTGAGTTTTTTTCCACTATTTGGTAAACCCAAAAATTTTTAATACCAAAGGTAAGTTAAGTCATCATCGTCATCACCATCAGTCATTCACCCAATCAAACAAACAATTCACTCCACTCATCGCTGGATTGCGCCCTTTCCGACTGTCTCTAAGTTAAACAACACTACAACAAACTTCCCATTGCCGCGTTTGACCCAGAAAAAGAGAATTTGAACTGATGGAAAAAAGAACCCCGTCTAAATAAATAATCACCCTAAAGCTAACAAATGTTTGTTAGGAAAGACTCTAGTTCTGTACAATGAGCTGCCCCTTTTTCAAAAATGCAGTGCAAATGAAATTCTGCACCCCGTGTAGGAAAGAAAGGAATGACTAGACTGCCACGGTGTTCAACAAGACAAAAAGGTAAACCAGACTGCAAATTTTATCGAAGAAAAGAATCATCTCTACTGAATTATACAAAACAATTTTACGTATTCTTATGAGCAACAAACTTTTACTGTTAAAGCCAACAGAAAAATTTGGTATAATCAACATCTGTCAGGGCACCGCCAATAATAAATTATACAGCGTTTCTTTTTTAGAACACCAGGAATAAACAATCAAGTATTAGAAACTTTTTCTACTTTTTAATGTCCAAAAGAGACAAATGCAAAAATGTAATTCCTAAATACTCGTTTAATACATTCAATTCGAGAAGAATTATCAGAGAATCATTGGAGAACATAAATATTCTCCTTAAAGTGACATCCATAAAATCGAATATTTACAACTGATAACTATGAAAACCCGTCTGCGCAAAGATGCATAAAATGAGCAAAAAGTAAAATGAAATAAATCAAAATATAAGAAATGTAGCAGAGGTAAGTTAGTCTTAGTTTTAAATTTTTTTTGAATTTTTTAAAAAAAATTTTTTTTTTTAAACGAAAAATTTCAAGCAGTGTGTACGAAACTGTCACAGTTATCGGCACCTAGTGATATGTAAAAAAAGCCGTCGATCAGTTTTCGCGTTGTTTCTTTTGCCTAAACAAAGCAAGATTTTTTTGCCCAAAAAAAGTATATATATATACATATATAGCCAATAAACCTCCAAGGAATATGAAAATCACAATTAAAATGAAAGTTAACCCGTCAATTTAGAAAACAACTCTGAAATCCAATAAAAAGTATAAAAATTAAAAAATTACCCAAAGATAAAAGTAAGTAGAAGAGAACAACAAACTTTCTCATTTTTATTTTTTGATTCTTGCGCTTCCAGCCATCATCAGGTAATCTAAATGTAATATGAAGACGATCCAAAATTTCAATTAAAGCCTTCTTAGGTATTGCTGCAGCAGGTGAATCAGAGCGAGAGAGGCGATCAGCAAATTCATTCTAGATAAATAAGAACAAAGCAGAGTTTTTGTGCAAAATCTTTGTTTTCATACACAACTAGAAAAAAGAAAGACTTTAAAAATTTATAATATGCCACATACGAAAGAAACAGGGTTTAAAGTCAAAAGGTGGTTATACAGTTCTTCGTTCTCCTCACGAGAAAGCCATTTAATCAAGGCACGTTGCATCCCATCGATATCCTAAACGATGCGCTACAAAATTAAAAAACCTTTTCCTTTGAAGAAACTTACTTTTGGGAGAGGCCCATCTTCGTCAGAAAGATCCACCGCCGATTCCTCTTGTATCCTATCCTCATCAAGACTCACGTTCAGAGTGCAGTTTGCAAGTGCTTCTTCAGCAGGATCTTCAGGTATTGTATCAAAAAGTCCACTAAAAGGCTTTTGCGCACCAGAATCCAGTACATTTTTTGAACTTCTCTGATTTTTCCGTGACGTAACAGGAGATTCATTTACAATTACTGAAAACAATTTACATCTTTAACCAAATAAGAAAAAAAACCTCCAAAAAATTTTCAAATATCCAGCAAAACCCAAAAACACCTTACAAGGGTGAGTTTCCTCGTAAATCCTCCTCAGCAAAGCAATAGCTTTTTTTTTGCCCATAGGCCGTAAACCGAATTTAGCTAGCTCTTGCTGAAAACACAGTAAGGTATCTCACTGGAAAACAATACTAGAAAGAAACGAATCAACATTCAGCGATGAGTGTCAACAAACACCAACACTAGCACAAAAAATACCTTTAACTCCACATCTGTCATCACTTCGTATTGCGGCAATGGCGTAATATTTGATGTTTTGACGATTTTGACATTCGACCCCAATTCTTTCAACCTTTTAGCTATAATACCCCCCTCCGCCACAGGAGTTGAAGTGCAGTGATCTTCAATCCTACTCTTTTTTCGCTTCTTACAAAAAGCAGATTTTGGTCCCAACTCACTAGTTGTTGCCTGCTGCTGATTTAGTTCTGATAAGGATCCAGAGCACTCCGTACCGTTTAAAAATGAAAAAGCTTCCGCCCCCTCAAAATTCATCTCTTCTTCCAAATAGTGACTTTCGCTTTCACAGGAAGCAGATCGCTCTCTGTTAATAGGACTAAGAATACCACCGTATCCTTCAAAAAATTGATTTTGAGCTCCGGACTTATTCACAGCAATCTTTCTAGGTGAAGATTCACAGTGAGATTCGCAAACATAGGCAGCTTCTCCATCTCCAGCTCCTAATTCCATATCTCTTATACTTCCTCGGTGAAATACGCCCGTGCTCTTTTCGGCAGGAACGCAAGCAGCAGTACCTGCAGATAAATTTGCTATGTTGAAAACATTTTCAACTATAGAACTCAATGCGTCATTGCTTGAACGTTCATCTGAACTATCGTCCGAAGCAACATCGAAAATATCCGGGCTTCTCATAGAAGCTGTTTGTTCACAGAACTGCGCCTTTAAGTTACTTGCGACACTGAACTTCTTTTCGCAGAAAAAAGAACAGTTATTTTCTTTTGCCAGTTGTTTCCTAACTATATCAGATCCATTTTTTAATTCGCATTCGTCTAACAATGCCTTATCTTCTGCTACGCCATTTGATTTCAAAGAATCGTCAAGAAATATTACAGACTCTTCAGATTTGTTATGCGCAGAAGCAGCCGTAGAGGGTGCTCCTTTCGAAGCACTGTCTTCTTCAGCAACGTTTGGGTTTGACTGAGATCTACAAGTCACTCCTTTACTGCTAGAATACTCGTTGGAACAATCTCCTACGCATTTTTCAGTTGATTCTTCAGATTCTTTGGCAGTAATTTCCCTAGACAGTGCAGCAATTACAGAATTGATCTGATTATTATCAGCACTCAATGGTTCTTCTTGTTCACGCGTCGTTTTGAACAAAAGCTCTAATTCTGGCGGCCCAAACATTTTAGCTAAGTCATACAATTCCTGTCTTTCTCCATCAGTCCACTCCATTTTTGAGGAGGCAAGAAATCGAACATAACAGCTGAAAAATAAATTAAAAACACTCATAGAAAACGTCTCTTAGCAATAAAAAAATTTTAATAAAAAAATCATACTCAATTACGAAAAAGATACAAAACGAATGCCTGAAAAGTACACTTAAAAAGATTGTAAAAGAAATATTCTCTGCAAAAAAACGGTTTCCACTTAACTAGATCTCGCAAGTAAGCTTTATCATTAATCGTTTTTGGGTAAAAAATAAACCATTCTCGTGACTAATCGCCTTTGAAAATTAAATAAAATCCTGTATTTTAACAATAATTCCCATAAGAAGCTAACAGCAAGTAAATACTATTCTTGAAAGCCTCATTACTGTCCAATTTATATAATTAAAAGAACTATCAAAAGTAGAAGATGCTCACTTTAAGCTAGATGCAGAAAAACTGTCTAAATAAACTAAGCCCGCGCCATCAATGAGCTGAAAACATTATGGGTGAATATAGTCAAACAAACCAAAGAAACTATACAAAGACATGCAAAAGAACAACAACTTACAGAGGCAACTTTAGGAGCTCTAGCTGCCAGAAGAAATCTGTGAGTTGAAATCTTTTCTCCACCCATCGCCAATAAAGTAACATCTCCAGTGGAGGTAACAGCATACCTCCCAAAGTCATCTGCTAATTGTTCAAGACGTTCCAGCTAAAGCAATACCATCCAAGAGAAAAAACCAGAACTAAGATGATAGGAAGACGCCAGTCACAATATTTTACCTTGCGAATACATTTCCCAATATGACCCAAAAAGACTGACGTGCGCTTCAGCTTACTATCCATCATTTCTCGAAAGTCTTTGTACCGTTTTGTTTTAAACCGCTTCAGAAAATTTTCCTCGAATGAAAGTTTAATTAAAAAGCAAAAAGCGCAAATTATGATAACAAATTTGTAATAGCTCTGTCCCGGCTTGACAGCATAATCGCCACTAAGATTGAATGAAGCAAGAATAAAAAATACTTGTATCTGATCAAAAACAGAGCATCTACACGGGCGTGGTTCCAGTTCGTAAAAAGAGTAAGACTTGCGATTACACTTCCTTCTTGGTTTAATCACAGCTGCATTATCTGGTACATTTTTGAGACTAAAAATAGGTTCTAGCTCGTTTGCTTAAGCAAAAAAATAAATAAAGAAAGAAAAGTACCTATCATTTGAAGCATCCAAACTGGCAGAAATAGCAAGTGCTATCTTCATTTGCTCCTCAAATGCAGAACGTGGTTCTTCTTTTACACGAACCGGCTTTTTCACTTCGAGCTTGGGAGCAGTGAGTCTGAATTTGTGCATAAGCTTAGCCCAAAGGAATTAGAAATGGTTACTTATGGCATAACACTCCGATAACAGTTCTGAAGTCCAAAAAAAAGTCACTAACTTCGTATGTGGAATACCGCCTTTTCTTTTCATTTCCGCTATTTTGCTTTGCGTCTCCATAAGAACAAGCAATCGTGTGGCAGATACATTATTTTTTTTCCCACAACGTTTTGCGTGTGCAGCCCTATACTAAAAAATGCATCTTCAACCAAAATTTGGAGCCAACATCAAAGAATAAACCTAGCGCTAGGAAAAAACTTAGCTGAAGCTTGCAGATTTAACCAAAAAAGAGTATATATCCGAAAAAAACTGAAATATAAGGTAAGCAAGTTAAATATAATAGTCTTAGATATCAACAATTAAAAACTCTCATATAAGTGTATAGAAGTGATTAAATTTAGAAAACTTCCACCACGTACAGGTCCTGGTGGCAACGGTTCGCCACACATTGGGCAGTCCAATGTATTTGTCCATTTCTCCTTATTTTCAGCAAATTTTTGCTCAGCTTCCTGATGATCCAAACAAGTATTAATGTGCAGCGACTTTCGCACAGCGTTTAAATGTTTTAAATCCTAAAAATTACTATTTACGTTAGAAATCCGTAATCCAATTACTGATAAAGGTTATGGCCACCGCGTATTTTCAAAAAAATTATTAACAATGGCTCCCTTAACGCGTCAAGACAGTCCCAAATTGTTCTACAAGTAACATCAACTGCCCTCCCAATTACCTAACCACATCGCTTTTTCAACACCTAATTCTTGCTACATCCTCCATAATGAATCTAAATGAAATCAACAATTGCTTGGTGTGAGCATATTAAGACGTTACAATTTTCGAGCTTTACAAGCAATAAACAAAAACTTTCACAATTCACCAACCTTTCACAGTACCATGATAACCAAATAAGTAAAAAACCCCTCAAAATTAAACTTTCAGTTATAGAACAAAGCATTTAAAAGTACAAGTGGCGTGTACACAAAAAAATGAATTTACTGAAGAAATACGACACTTAAGGTAAAAGATGCTTTTCAAACACCTTATCAAATACGACTTGCTTAGACAGAGTTAACATAAAAATTTAATAAACGCCAAGAAACTGTTTCTGCATAACAATATTAAAAGACACCTTATTACATATGTAGCATACGTCTTTATCTGCATCTGGCAGAAGATGGTCACTTTTGATATTACAGTCACGAGTAGAACCAACATTCTCAAACCCTGCCCTGAAAAAGAGAGCCTCCAACAACAAAGTAAAAAAGTGAATTTGAAAGTTACAGCAGACAAAAAGATACGATCTGCATAAAGAGTGATGTCTTAACAAGAAACTTACTTGAAAGCTGACGGCTGATGTAACGGTTGCAAAGATTCAGGAACAAAGTCAGAATCATCCATCCTACTCAACAACTAAGACCGCTTTAGTGCCTAAAGCAAACAGAACAACTCAATAAAACAGTCACAGTTCTGGAAATGAATAAGCATAAATAGCCTGCACTACTCTGCTAAAAAGTTAATTATTAATGATGACCAAGGGCTTAGGTCCACGGTGACTAAATTCTAGCTACCTCTCTCCAAATAACCATTTATTTTCCAAACTGATGTGATTCTCTGCTTTATTGTACCTACTCCACAACCAGTAATTGAATCTACTTTTTGTCTACAAAGTTTTTGAGACTCAAATAATTGACTCAAATAATTCAATCTCAGAAAACTCTATTCGTCTTTTATGCTTTCCAAGGGTCTAATTATTCACAGCGCTCCAACTGCTCATACGCTCCGGCACGCATCTAATTCCATCGAAGCATTGGTATAAAACACGTACAATCGTACTGTATTCTTCGCCTCCAGTATTTCAAAGGTTTAGATTCTCGTTAATCGCATTTTTAGACACATGGTAGTGACTTTTTAGTTTAGGGGGTTAAACACAATTCATGGCTAAAAACTGCTTGAAACTTCCAAGTGATTCAGCAAAAAAGAATGTAAATTTCTGATTTTTAGACAATGTAAAGAGACAATCAAACAAACTTTTCAATACTTAACTTCCCGCAGCCCTCCAACCTAATAACTTAATTTCGATGCATGCCGGAATTCACTAAATTTGGTTGTTGGCATCAGGAATCCCCTAGTTCTAACCACTAATTTTTAAAGTTCAGGCATCTTCTTCTCAGTATTTTTCGCCTTTTTTCCCTTAGGTTAAAACGTTTTGAACCCCACGCTACAATCAGTAAATGAGTGCCAGTCCAAAATATCCAGTGAGAACCCAGTGCGCATGGTCCAACTAAGTTAGATAATCGTCTTTGCAGTCCTGTCGTTTTCATATTCAACTTTCCAGGCTCCTATTTCTCAAGTTCTCATTTTAATTTAGGGGGGACAAACGGTGAAGATTATCGCACTTATTTGGTAGCAGAAGTCTGCTCCCTGTACCTACGACACAAGGACGGTTCTGTCCGAGTGTGAAAGACCGAAGCTTGAAGCGGCAGTAAGGAAAAACGCAATGTTAATTTAAGCTAGAAAGCGAGGTGTGTTTTTGAAAGAGAACCGCAGGAAGACGGCATGGAGCTTATACCATAGTAAGTGAAATAATCATAAATAAAACATATACCAACAGCCAAATTCCAAAATGTGAAGAAAACGCATATCAAGTCCGTTGTAGTGGCGATAATTGAATACGCGGTACTCTAGAAAGCTAAAAACAAAAAAAAAAAAAATAAAAAAACAAAGTTAGAGACAAAGAATAAAGCCCAGTATACGACAGTCAAAAACAGCGAAAATTGAGTAGCTTCTTAGCAACAGAACCTTGGGCTGAACTTATAAGAAAAAGTGATCATAACTCTCAGTGCAACATCCAAAACTGCAAGACTTATATACACAGTATGAAAATATAAAATGAATTCCAAATCTCTGCCTACTTTTTAAAATTTCCTTCAAACCTCGCTATTCAAGTTACTTAATACGCATCTTCTTCAATTGTTACACACTAAAGTATGACTCAACAAGACTTGAGGCCATTACAGCCTTCCTAAAGCGCAATTACATAAACATATAAAACTATTTACTTTAACAGCAGGATACACAAATGATGACTGAAATTTGCCAGTAATCTATCCAGCTAGAATGTAGAGATTTTTTGATTTCCGGAAAAAAGGACAATGGGACGAACAGTTTGATAGGCCGCCCTTTCCAGCTTAACGACTTAACCTCAACAAAAGCAAGAAGTAGAAATAGAGGTACCCGCTGAGAGACCATAACGTCCAGCATCGCCAAACTAGGACAATACCAAATTCGCTAATTTCTAGGCATTCTTCACAAACAAAGAAAGTAAAGCAACTACCGATCACTGTCCCTCAAATATTGAATAATACGTATAAATACCATATTTGCATATAAAAATCTGACATCCCATATTCGTCAAAGAAATTTGAGATTTGAAAAATTGGAAAAGGTCCAAAAAAGTCAAAACAAGGGTTCCCAACAGCTAAATAGTTTTTGTGCGCTCAATAACGTTACAGGTTACATTTTTCTTACATTTTTCCGAGATTTACTCTGTTACAATACACAAAAAAACGTCTGATAATGCTTAGTAACAGTAAGTGTGACAGATGTTTCAACTGAATCAAAATTAGTTCCATCAGAAAGGATGCGAGGTGTTAAGGCAGAAGAAAGTAATTAAAAGTGTACGAGAAACAAAAAATCAGGAAAAAAAAACGGGTATTAATATTCAAGGAATAAAAATATTTTTCTTTTCATGCAACACTTTTACCCGTTGGTTTATTTAAACTGCTGCTAACTAAGAATAAGTATGCTTAAACATTTAAGGCAAAAATTAATTCTTTGAATCTATAAATAATTTTAACAAACAACATTTTCCTACTTCTATTTTCTTGAGGGCGGGCCGGCAGTCTGCGATTTTATTAATGTTAATTTTATTTCTCTTATTCTGATCTTTAAGCTAAAAAAAAGGTGTCAAATAAACTGATGACAAGCTTAGAGACACTTATGGTTCTTTGACCTTCCCATACTTTCCAATATATAATAACATCTTCAGAGACTAACCGGTATTCTTGACATGCAAAATATTATTTTGAAATCATAGCACTTATTCAGAATCTGCTGGATTTTTTCAATTAAACAGAAACACCATGATCACAAAGAGTATGCTGGTCCTATTGCTTCCGCAGCTTTTTTTCACTGCACTGACAAACACTTAATTGATCAAACTTTCCACAATTTAGTAACAACACCTGTCAAATGCAAATTCATTGAGAAGACTGGTCACTGTAAGCAAATAATGAAAGATTTTAGTGAGAATGGTTAGAAGTAGTGATTAATAAATAGAAAAGGAAAGGAGGCCAAATGACAAAAGTATTTTAAAAAATTGTACTAAGTGAAAAATGTGAAGAGAATTTCATTACAACGACCACTTATAGTAAAAGTAGCAAAAGAAATTTGTACAGAAAATAGCTGGAGGAGACGCAGACAGTTATGAGATCAGGAGATGAAAGGCGACAAGGAGCACTGTATGACACAACGAATTCAGTGGAAAAAGTTGGCTGATATTAAAAGGTTGGTGTGCTTCCTTACTGTTAGTTCAGCTTCGCTTTGAACGGTGGTGCAGAAATCGAACTAGTAAAAACTGGCAGCACGGTGCTGTAGCTTAGTTTTTAAAAAATCTTTGTTTGTGGACAATGTTAAATTCGTTGTTTGTGTCGTTTGAGACATTCTGATGACCATTAATGGATAAGAGCAAGTTAGTTCTAATAGAGAAGCTCAGTGTACTAGAAACAGATAATGCGTCTCTTAAACCAATATCCCATAAGTGTTACGGGACGTTTTCTAAGTGACCAAACGTTGTTTAATCCACTAGGTTTTTAACAATATCATTCTGAACTGAGCACCTTCAACCAAATAGACTGTCAGCACTGGCCACTAGGTTTACACCTCTGTGAAACTGGCCATCGTTCCCCGTTCAAATAGTTCTCAACAACCATAATGGCAGACT